AAAATTTTTTTAAAACTTTAGTTACTGTAGAACTGTAAACATATAATCGCCATAAAAGTATAAGCAAACTTAATTTAGTTGCATTTGCAAAGAACCGCCTAACTTTGCAAAAGTTATTTTTGTATTTCCAGTTGCCATTTTTTTTCGTTTTTTTTTAGGTTTTTAAGCACTAGAATCAGTTTTATCTGAGTTATGTGAGATCTCCTCAGTTATTTTGTCTTTCTAAAGACTGTTAGAACTTTTTATTACAGCCAAAATCACAGGCGATATAAAAAGATAACAGAGCACTTTTTTTGAATTTTTGAGTATTCTATTTTATTGAGAACAGAACTAAATTAATACAAATTTGTTGTCTTCTTTTACCTCTTAAAAAGTTCTTCTTAAAACTATTTAGCATCCTAAACATTCTAAAGATATCAAAGCTTTTTAAAGTGATAATTCCTTAAGTTCTTCAATGGTAAACCTTCAGTACCAGTTCCGTCGAATCAGTGTGATGAAATTATGAAGATCAACCAATACCTATTACTGATTGAACATAACTGCCATCAATTTGTTGTCAAATTTTCGTGCTGTTTGCTAGAAAAACCACTTAAAAATTGGAGGCTTAAAAAGTTTTGTATCAGTAGCTCAGAATCGTAAAGATGACAGATTACTTTTACGTCGATAAAGCATTTCATTTGGTTACCTTTAAGTACTGTTCTTTTTTTTGTTACAGATGAAGTTATTTTTTTTCTTGTTTTTGAGAAAATTTAAAAATGGATTTATTTAAGAGACAGTATCCTATCCAATACTGACAGTCCCAAAAGCCACAACAGTTCGGTCTTATCTTATGAGGATTAGTACTTGTTTAAAAAAAATAGCAACAAAATTGACTTTTAATTGCGCTCTGAATATATACATCATCATTGATCTTGTTGTATAAAAGCATTAGAGTAAAAATTTTGCAAATTTTTTTGATCATAGATGGTTTAAAATGATTTAAATATTGTTTTTAAAACTGGAATCAACAGACAACAGATACTGATAACAATAAAAGAGACCTACACTAATAAAAACTGGCTAAAACACTACCAATAAAGCACAAAACTTGAAATCATTCTGTGCATTAGTACTGAAATATTTTCATTTTTATCGTTAGTTCTAACACCTTCATAAAAACTTACATTTGTTTTTCTTTTACAAGGCTTAGTGACTTTATAAATAAGTAACAGAACAGAAAACAAAAATGTTGCTAAGAAGTAAAAGAAAAAAAAAACACAGAAAAACTGTTGATAAGAATCTGTCATCCTTGCAGTAAAAAATAACGCTAATTTATTTTTTGCAACTACACCTGACAAACCAAGCAACAGCTATATAAGACTTAAGAGACTATCGATGACTTACAGATCGCAGAACTAAAACTTCTAGAGTGTAAAAACAGTTTGATTTGCAAAGTCAAAAACTGATTTTTGGGTAGAATTTATGCATGACTATTCATCTTATTTCTTCTAAAAAATACGTATATATTTTAGGCATTTCACAGCACTTACAACGTTCTATACAAGCGCCACTACAAATTACAGAAGTAAAGTGCACATGGACTACTATGCTCATAGTGGACCAAACACCAATGAAGGGTTCACGAAAATTAAACCTGCCGGTTCCCTAACCTCTCTACTTTCGCCAACGAAACAAGAAACCCATCTACTTTGGCGTATGCGACGAGCATATTCCGCGGATCACACAGAAGCGAAACGTAAAAAAAAGGGCAAAAAAGAATGGAACGAACAGAGAAGGTCTCAACAGTTCCATAAAGATGAAGGCTCAAATTTGTACAGTCCATTCATACCTTAAAATACCAAGTATTTTAAATAATAAAATTAGAAACGAGTTGTATTCAGCATTAACAAAATCATTTAGAAAGATAGATTCTCAAGTCGCAAATTTTTTACAAATCAAATGATTCAACTAAAAATGTTTAACAACCTGAACAAGAGAAAATCCAAAGTAAACCGAGGTGCCAGTGAA